ATGAAGTCGCAGTCTACGAGGAAGTGGCGGTACGTCTCGTGCGCGGGGCAGAAGAGGGCACGCTTGGTCGGCCCTGTCGAGCCAGTGCAAATGTGCGCGGAACTTGACCGCGCGGAGCATCACTTGGTAGCGAAGTCGACGTACTTGGGTAAGATAGCGTCGGGTAGCCGGAGCTCGGCTGCGGCGGCTACGGCAGCAGGTGCCTCGTAGAAGTCTTCCTCGAGCCCAGGTGGCGGGTCGGTAGCTGCAAGCGCGTCCGTGGCGCGGCACAACGTCGGCGAGCGTCGTCTCGGTCAACGGCTTGGTAACTTACGTACGTGATGGTCGTATTGTGGGCGAATCAATGAATAAAAGCTCGATCCATAGTCCATGGAAGCGTCGTTCGATGCCTTTTCTAACTACGTGGTGTGCTCGCTCATTTCATTTCATGGCTCTGGGTGGTCGGAATAAATGCGAACGTTAAATGCTTAAATATCGTCGTCCTCGTCAGGTAAAGCCACGTTTCTCGCGGCCGCATTGTCGGCCTCAAAGGCGGCCAGCAGCCTCGCATCCATGACGAGGTCCGACATGTAGCAGCAGCAGGCGGGCGGGTCCACAAACATCACGTTGTCGTCCTCGAAAACCTTGCGCGCGAGCCAGAGAAAAGGTTTCTCGATGTTGTAGTTGGCCTTGACCGACATCTCGACACACTTGAGATTCTTCTCACGGTGAAAAGTGATTTGCTTGACATTGTGGCGCTCGGCGTCTACCTTGTTGCTGCAGAGTACGATCGGAATGTCCTCGCAGACGCGGCGAATAGCGCGATACCAGTGGGGCACATTTTTGTACGAGACATGCGACGTGACGTCAAACATGATGATCGCGCACTGGGCGTCGGCGTAGTGGTCATCGTGGGAGCCCTGGCCAGCAAAGTCCCAGCTGTTGAACTTGATCGGGCCAAAGTTGGTGTCAAACTGGAGCGGGTGGACCTTGACGCCGAGCGTGGCGATGTACCTCTTCTTAAACTCGCCCGTCACATGACGTTGTAGGAACGTCGTCTTGCCGACGCCGCTATCGCCAACGAGGAGCAGCTTGTAGCCTGGTATTTGAACCCGCCCGCACATGCGTCTGGTGGGAGGCGAAATGATAGACGCGTGACTTGTGATGCAATAAAATGATGGTCGGTTGTTGCTGGATTGTAGTGGCGACGAGAATGTCGGTATTTTAAGGCTTTTGATTGGCTGAATTGACACCTCCAAGTCACTGCTGATTGGCTCAAATGATAGTTTCGTGGCCTCACCGCAGTGGCAACTACACTGTCGGCGCAAGAGCGTCCGACGGGCCCGATCTCTTGCTATCGACCAACTATCGACGTTGGCATAATCCTAGCTGTAGGATGCCTCGCGAGCAGCACTACAACCAAAAGTCAGATGGCTTGCTAAAACAAAAACCTGTCACATTTAGTACATTATTCGATCACAAAGGCTTCCGGACCGATATGGCAACCGAGGAGGCCAGCGACTGGGCAGAGGCCCGTGACGAAGGCTTCTTTGCCATCGAGAACCCCGAGCACGCGCCAGCCGACGCAACAAGCGACGTCTCTAGCGTCGATAGCGTCGACAGCAGCAGCGATGCATCGGTGCTCCACGGCGCATGCCCCGTCTGCCTCAAACCGCTCGTCGACGGCGTCCTCGTCGCCGCCTGCCTCCACGAGTTTTGCCGCGCGTGCATACTTCAGTGGGCCGACCACTTGCGCGACCGAGGTGCGCCCGTGCGATGCCCCATCTGCCGCGCGCCATTCGCACAGCTCTATACGAATGTCGCGTCCGCCGACGACTACGACGTGGAAGACCTCGCGACGACCGCGCCGTCCCCACGCAGCTTGGCGCGACGACAGCGCGCCCTTATCTATCGCCGCGCCTCGGTTTCGGTCGCAGACGCTCGCCGCCGGCAGTGGCCCGCCATCTACAAGACGAACGACCAGGCCATGTCCTGGATACGGCGAGAGCTCGGCGTTGTCCTTGGCGCGACCACTGACACGAGCCTCCTGCAGCAGATCATCGCATCCCAGCTTGTAGAGATTCGGATGGACGATGCCAGCCGAAAGCGCAAGCATTCGCAGC